CAAAAAATTCTCTTTTTGAAGAATTGAAGAGTCTGTGGTGGCTCAGTAGCGGTTGAAAAGGATATCAAGGGTGCTACAGCTATAAATAGACATTCAATTTCAGCCTCACAGCGATTAGTGGCATTCAAGGTCAAGCAAGCGTTGAAGAATCCTTGACGGTCCTGTTCAATCCAGTGGGAGAGAGGAAGGTCGTGCAGCCCTCTCCTCTACCCTGGATCAGCTATTAGAGCAGCAGCAGCCCAAGCGGGAGTGCAGTCGAGTGCACAGCGCTTCCCTAAGCGAGTTCGACCATTGCCATGTGCTTCAGTTCCCGCTCACTGCAATGGAACCGAGAGTCTGAGAGACATCAAGAGGCTCACGAAAGGAACTGGTCGAAATGTCAGGAAAAAATCCAGTACACAAGATATAATGCGAATTTCGGCGTTAACTTCATAAACAGATACCCATCGGACCATGAGTTGAGACTTTGCAGTGAATTTCCGCAATTTTTAGAAAGCAGATATGTTGTGTATTCCAAAGCTCCTTTCATTTTGAACAAAACTGTCCATGAATGAAGCTGTGATCGCTTGGGTGACAGCACACCGAAGGAGAATTTTCGGCGGTCCCGGACAAAAATCCTCAACGGGGCCATTTTGGACATACTGAGTGAAACAAATCATCAACAAAGTTCGAGAAAAAAGTAATCTTCTAGTTTACAACGCTATGTTAACCTTTTCTGAATCATTGCGATTGAAGGAGTTATGGAGGGTCGAACGTGCGCGGGGAATCCTCGACGAGGGAGGGTGGGGTGGAGGAGGCCGTATTGGGCTCAGTGGGAGGGATGGCGCCGTAAGAGCCGGGACAGCTATGGTCAGTACAGCGGTAGCGTGTTCGGAGTGGATAGGAACCGCCACTCGCGCCGGATGTCGAGTGCGTGGCGCGTCCCTGAGGGAGTACGACCAATGTCGTACGTTTCAATCCCTATTCCATGCAATGGAGATGTGAGTTTGGAAGACACCAAGAGGTTTTCGGAAGTGGCTGTTTACAACAGGAAGGAAGTCACAATTCAGGCAGTAATACAATTTTCTTTTCAGTGTTAACTTCATAATTCTAAGCTACCTTCACTTCCGTAGGATTCACCCCTAAGACGGACAAACAAGCTAGTGGTGCAGTCAGGAGCAAATTGGACTTAGCAACTTTATGACACGATGAAAATGGTACAACGTACCCTTCCCCCGATTGAAGATTTCGTCACTCAATACAATAGTGGAATGCGCCTTTAAATCTCGCCTGACCCATCGACTATAGGCCGATGGTGATCGCACATAAAAGCACCATAAAAGTTTATTCATTGATCAAAATTTCGCGCATGAAGACAAGACGAAAAGGAACACATTCACATCAAACAATCTATATATTGAAGGCAACGACGATTATCCAGTAACTTGCAGATTAGCTCACTAAGAGACGAAAAACGATGTGTTCAGTGCAACATATGTAGCCTATAAGATTTCATAAGTGGATCATGGTCAGCATTCATTTAACTGAAGCTTGTGATAACGCCACGAACTGGAGCGACCACATTTCCATCCCACGAACGGGATACATGAATCGTTCGTCAAATTTTTTATATATTAAATTAAGTAGGACAGCAGTGTCTAGGCTCAAATGTTTAATATTTGACATTTATGGACTGCCTTTGATGACACCGTCAACGAGCGATAAATTATCAGGACTAAATTGAAGTGACACATAGATTTTGCATGCACACAAACCACAATTGATAATGCACAATAACGTTGCATAAAAAAGTTGATGAAAAATTCAATCTAGATCCGCCGATGATCAACCATCAAATCATAAGACGGAGAGAATGTCGATGTGATAGTATAACAATATAAATCTACTAAAGAAATCTAAACATGAACATATACCTCGGCAGTGAAACAATGCCAGGTGTTCGCACCCAGCCGTCGACTGTAATGATTCAGCTGCACCAAACAAACGGATTTGAAAAAAAAGAAGAAGACATATCAAGACCAAACAAAATTCTCCATAGGAAAAGAAACTTTTACGAATGTGCTTACAAATTCAGCGATGCAATGATTGGCTAATAACCTCTGAATTAATGGTTAACAAACCAGTAGAGGTGAAACACCAGTGATCACGCAACAATATAACGAAACACTGCAAAATGTATGCGCTGCCTGACTGAGCTCTCTTATAAGATAGAGCACTTCTTCTTTTTCGGCTTTTGAGGCGGACATAAGACAGCGCGAATAGCCTCATCAAAGACCTGCGAGAAGAAACTTCCAAAGACTACTGTGGTAGAAAATTCAAAAAAGGCATACCTGCTTCAAACCCCGTTGAGTAAGAGCAGAACATTCCAAATATTTAACAGCCTTGATTTCCTTCGCCATAACCAATCCTTGAGTTTGACTGATCGGAGTGAGTCTGCGCTCCCGAAGCCTACACAATAGTATTCAAATGGAATAACATCAACAAAAAATGCAACAAGGAATATCAACGAATTCCTATGAAGGTAGAGGTATGAAGTAACGGGGCCAAAAAGGCAGAAACCAATCGTGTAATGCTGGAAAACAAACCCAGACAAACACGAACGAGCTAATGAAGATCTTTGAAATTTCGTGGTTTATCCTTCGCACATAAAAACGCGAAAAATCATTATGAAAGTAACAAATGAGGAACAAAAATCAGCACCTTTCAATAGTTTCCCGATCATCACGCAAATCAGCTTTCGTCCCAACAAGAATAATGGGGGTGGTCGGGCAATGATGAGAAACCTCCGGATACCTGAAAGGGGAATTGTGAAGGATTTATTCGCAAACTACGCCAAAACATTACTTTAACACTATGGACACGGGAAAATTATCTCACCATTTTGCTCGAACATTTTCGAAACTCGCGGGATTGACTAGTGAAAAACAAACAAGAAATACATCGGTTTGAGGATAGGATAAAGGACGAAGTCTGAAATGTAGGTCATTGTTCGCTGAACAAGAAAGCCAAAAAATTAAACCTAGAAGAAGCCTAAGCTAGCGAAGTAAAATAGCCACCTTACATGGTGTTTTTCAGAATTTATGCAGAGAGGATTTCAACGGAAATAAGCGATCCCAACGAGGTTGAGTAACACTTCAAAAACATCTCATCTTATTTCTTTCTAACATATCTTATACGAATATTACACGCCTATCAGCGATGACACGTGGTTACAATAAAGTACTGTTTCGCTGTCAGTTACCACGTTAATATCTCCGAGGATTTTTTTAAATTTCTTACTTTTGGCTACTAGTGCGAGCATTTCTATCAAGCAAACAAGCACTGTTCGGAATTTCACCACGCTGCAAAATCATTAAAGAATCATGGGAATGGGAGACGGTCAATTCAATCGTCGGCTAATGTGTCACGCCGCTCACGCGGCGGGCAGCGTCGCGCGGCAGCGATCGTGCGCGTTTTGATATGGCGGGCCTTTGGTTAGTCGAGTCTTGTTCCATATGTTGCTGGGGTTAGAAAACTGTGTGAGACCAAAGTTCTGACTTCTAGTGGCAACCAAGGAGTCACCTTGAGATCTCCGATTTATTCAGGTCTGAACAGAGCTTGTGCCATGTAAAGGTTGTCCTTTCAACATAATTTGACTCTTTATTAATCAACTGCCTAAATTGTTATCAAAAAGCGATAATCTGGCTCATCGGGAAAATATTACGTTCCAAGACGCAGTGGAACGGTGAGGAAGGCACTAGCATTTGTATGAAAGAATAGGTTTTGTAAATAATGCAAAGGACAAGGATCTGTAGGTTAAAAGGGGCGTGTAAATTATACGTGTTCGCGATGGGCATTATCTATTGTTAATTCCCTGTAGACGATGATTCTAGTACAGCGAGTCGCATCTGCAGGATTGCGATTAACGTGCTGGTGACTGGCCATTGCACGATTTGAATTGGCGTCAACGTTGTCCTGGGAGCAGCTCACTTATGAGATATTCTACGATATGAGAGAAGAAAAATCGATGAAAAAGGGATTGAATTTCCCTTGCCTGTTCCCTCTTTTTGTCATTCACCTCTAAGAATAAGCAATGGATTACTTACACGTCAAAAGAGGTGCCATAATTTGACTCCTTTATTAATCAACTGCCTGAACTGTTATCAAAAAGCGATAATCTGGCTCAATCGGAAAATATTACGTTCCAAGACGCAGTGGAACGGTGAGGAAGGCACTAGCATTAGTATGACATGGAATAAGTTTCTAAATAATGACAAAGGACAAGGATAAGTACTTTAAAAGGGGCGTGTAAATTATACGTGTTCGCGATGGGCATTATCTATTGTTAATTCCCTGTAGACGATGATTCTAGTACAGCGAGTCGCATCTGCAGGATTGCGATTAACGTGCTGGTGACTGGCCATTGCCAGCGTTTGAATTGCGTTCAACGCTGTCTGGGAACAGCTCACTTTATGATGATTTCTACGATATGGGAGAAGAAAATCGATGAAGGGAATGAATTTCCTTGTTTCCCTCTATTTGTCATTCACCTCTAAGAATAAGCAATGGATTACTTACACTCAAAAGAGGTGCATCAGAGAAAATTCTGTTCCATTCAGTACATAATATACTCCTTTTCTGTTGTTTACACCACCCAGCCCAAAAATTACGCAACGATGGACAAGTTGAACTGTTTGGTTGATCCTAACATCACAATCGTTAATCAGCTCTGAACGAATGCAAACGAATTTTTCGACAAAGATAGAAACTTACCGATCATAGTCCTCTTGTCCTGCTGTATCCCACAAGCCCAAATTGATTGGACGACCATCCACCATTACATTAGCTGAGTAGTTGTCAAACACCTTAATACACGTGAAGGTAAAGGTCGATTAAGTGCATAAATAAACCACATAAACCACATTTTTTTCTTGAATGAAAACCTGAACTTGCTAGAGGGGAGAATTGGACAATTACTGGAGTCCCAAACAATAACGAATCAATGAGCAACCACCAAAGGTGAAGTAATTCAGATAATGCTCAAACAGAATCCTGTGCAATTCCATTAGGTTGCCAAAATGTGGGCAAAACTTTACTATACATACAGGGAAACCGGACATGCACTTCGCTGCCATCTGGACAAGTACGCTATGTGCTCTGGAAAATTGTGGGTTCAAGCTATGTTTGAGGATTCAAATTTGTTTGGTGAGTCAAAAGATACATGTAACACAGAGGCGATGACGCTCTACACAAAATAGAAGGTCGAAATACTATGAGTTCAGAAAAAGCTCAAATTTTCAGTAATCGCGGAACGCAATTCCAAAGTTATCCCTCCACGAAAAAAAAACTTAAGGGAATGTTCAGGATTTCAGTATAATGCAAGGAAAGAATAAGCAGGACTGGTCACAACGCTAGCGAATTGGAAGTTATATGAGCAAATAAGTAAAATGGAGAAGATCCATAAGCCTTCAAAAGCAATAAAAGCACTCACCGTTGGTATATACTCTCCAGGAAATGCGTTCGTGGTATACGAGATCAGTAGACACGTTTTACCAACTGCTCCATCACCTACCACAACACACTTGATCGCCTGCATATCTCTGAAAACCACTGGTTCTATATATAGCACTGAGAGCACTGTGGAACATTTTTTAACGAAATAATGATGATAGAAAAAAGTAACACCCGACATTAAGCGGTACAACTATGGTTTTGAAACACAATAATTTTAAAATTTATGCGAATAGAACTCGAGCAACAAAAGGAAGAACGCGAAGACCGGTTTTTAGTCTCTTTAGAAAAAATACAAAAGCCATCTGGCTTCGAAGCAATCTCAAACGAATTAAAGAGGCAGAACAAAGTATCGCACAAAGAAAAAATTCGACAATTAAAAAAAGATCTACAAACAGCTCATACTAGACAGCTGGAAAAAGTCCTACAGCAACTTTTTTGGTTATCACATACGTCGAATGAGGAGAAAGAGTGTATTGGCGGGTAAAAGCCACGCCGGCATGACTTTAGGAAGAAGTATCACCAGTTGTGTACTAATTAGAATGTTAGGATACACCTACGCGCGCAAGACTCACAACCGGTCTTCCAATAAGAAAGGCAAAAACAAGCAAAATGGAAAGGTGAACGGAAACAATAAATACAATTGTAAAAATGAATAATGAATTGCGCAATTATGGCGCACTATATGGGTAAACCCGCCGCTTTTCGACACTTCTGCATAGTGGCCCGGAATATAAATTGCTTTCGTGAGATGTCTCGGACATGTCGCAGATATTCTTGTACAGAAATCTTCTTCTCTCGCAGTGCTTGCCCTGGAATGGAATTTCGATCACTACCACAATTACGAAGACGACAACGTACAAGACTATGGAAAAAACCTATAGTTTTTGAGTCATGAAAAATAACCCTATAACATTAAACAATTACTTCAATGGCTTTGCATGCTTTCTGTACCACATCTCTCTAAATGTCGAATTTGGAATTCAGAAAGGGTATTTTTATATTCCGTGGCTAGGAATATCAAATGGCCAGACACAAGAGAGAGACAAAGCGTAGTTGTCACGATCAAGAACGAAAACAAAAGAAAAATACGTGAAAAATGTTCCCAGAGTAAAATGGAAGAAAACCAAAGCAAATCGCAACCAGTAACGGTCAGTAAAAGCGGAGTGTTATTTGAAACCAAATTGAACGGACCAAATTCTCATTAAAGCTTCACGAAAATTTGCGAGTGATCTCGAGAAGTTGATTCTCCCTTGGTGAATGTATAAAATAGTACGAACTCTACTAAATCACTGCTGGAAAAAAGCTGAAGTTCTACATATTTTAAATGAAAAAGAACACCTACCAAGTGCATAAATGACATCATCACACGCTAAGTCTTGTGCATAATTCGTCAGAATTTGCCTGTGTAGGGGTGTAGCCGCATCGATAGCTTGGTCGATATCAACCGTTTTATTCTCGCTGTCATTGCCACATTCTGCTAACGTTCGCGTCAATTCGGTCTTTTTATCCTGAAACAAAAACAAACACTAACGAAATCGATAAAATCAAATCCTAATCCAACGTGATGCATAGCTGCAGTGCATGATAAACAGGTACTATTGGATCAATGCAAAAACCGGCTCAACAGAATGTGCGCTGTTTACCTATGCCGCCCCCAATTCGATAATTTAGAAGCGATTACTATACCTGATGTGCGAAAATATATGATTCTAAAAGTTTCTGTTGCTTTTCTAGTTCTTCTATCATATTGCGAAGTGTTCGCTGTCCAGCTTGCAGTTCAGATTGAGTTTCACGAATTGACGCCATTTCCGCGTGAGACGTGCCTAAACAATTTAGAAGAATGGTCTGATAAGTAGCTACATCAGGTAATATAGCACTAAGTATGACGTTCCCATTCACCAATATTACAAAACTTTGATTTCAATACACACACAGAGCAACGCTACTCGAATGTAATTCTACCCAAGCTATAGGAAAAATTTCAAGAATATGAACGCACCCATTTTCTCCCTTAGCCGCATTCTCAGTTTATCCTCGAGAGCGCTTATGATTGAAACTCGTATGTGCTCCGGCTGAAGTGTACCCGCTGACGAAGTAGGAACTGGAGGAACTGGTGGAGTCGGCCGAGTTGGAATTGATGGTTGTGGATACGGTGTGTTGTATGCACTGAAAAGGAAAGAAAAATGTTATTAAGTCTCTCTCGGTTGGCGGACATTTTTTTTCAAGTAAAAAATTGGCTCAAAACTATAATAGTGCAGTAATGTTGCGTTCAGGTAAGCATTGATACACAATGTTGGAAATATACGATCAAGAAAAAGTAAAATTGGGAGGGAAATAGGCCCACTTATGCGCTACTCCTTTCTTGATTTACGCTCTGAAATCCTTTCTCATTGAGTTACCAGATAACACAGGAAAGTTATAGAAGGTGGTTCCGGTAGTAAAAATTGTGACGTTTGGGCAATATGGCAAGGGACTCATTCAAGAAAGAAAGAGCGTGTTCCTGTTCAAAAAGGAGTTCTGAATGGGATAGACTAGTGTAGCCACTGAAAAATTCAAGACACCTGATCGGAATCACACTTAGAAGTAAGGTATGGCCTCCATTTGTACAACTTGCCCTAAATACCCACTCAAAGTACTTCCTCCATGACCAATTCTCGTGATAATACCGAGAGGGAGGAATGGAGGAGAGAGAAGTAGTAAGGGCTGGTGATAAAATAACACCATAACACCGTAATATTTACAATCCTCAGAGTTCTTTGAATTTTCGAGCGACACGTCCCTCTCAAAAAATACTACTGCGAACCCAATATTAATGATCTTTTACCAATCCCATAACGCTTGTATACAAGTGTAACCACCGCAACATTCGCAGATGGGAAATCAATCAAAAGGTGCACATGCATGTATGCCCATAACCAAGCAAGGTGAGATTGGAATTGAACGGCTCAGTTTTTGAATTCGTCAGCGTGACGATGTTTCACTGGAGGTATTACTGTGGTAGAAAAAACTTTCTTCGAAAATCAAATCTGGAAGCAATGCTTCTCGACAAAGCCCTACCACAAGTGAAACCCTCATTATTCTGTACAAGGCGGATGCTGGAGGGCATGGAAATCGATTATTCGAAAGCGGTCAATCAACAAATATGGCATAAAAAATTTGAGCAAGATCAGGACAGCGATAAACAATACCTTCCAAATTGATTGCCTGCCGTGGGATATGGAGTTTGCCCTGAATATGGAGGCATGACAGTTGGATAAGGAGTCGGCATCGAAGGATTTGATGTCGGATAAGGAGTAGGATATGAAGGTGTCGCTTGGGATGTGGCAGAAGTCGGTGTCGGCGTACTGTTTGCTGAAGCTGACGATGACTTCGCAAAAACTGGACATTTCTCTTGGAATACCATTGCCATTACCTAAATAAAAAATTGAGGAATTTAATTGCGCACTTTCACCCACCATAATCTCGTTTACCTGTAACAGGCCGTTCAAATCATAACCCGGGAACCGCCATTCATTCAGGTAAGGCAGAAATACGCGCCCTTGCTTCGTTACGTGCTCTGACTCACGTATAACCATCGTTGGTGTCGGACATACGTAACAAATCGGTGCATAATACGGGTGAGTGTCCCATAGATACACTGATATAGGAATATTATATCTAGCACCCTGCAAGAATGAACGTGGAAGCTAAAACATTACAAATGAGTGACTCAGCATGAAAAAAAAGCAGTGGGAATAACAACCCATCGAAAGAGGAAGTATTATCAGCGGCCACAATGACCGATTACAGCTACTACGGCTTTCAAACAGCCTCACAAACAATTGAAAAAAATAGACCAATATCGTGGCACCAGACGCGCTATGTTAGCTGGCAATAAAATCTTCCAGATCATGGAGAAAAAGATGGAATAAGAAATTATTTAGCCTTTACCAAAGCATTGAAAGGTTTCAGTAATAGCAAAACGGAGCTCTAACATTTTCCAAGATGAAGCAATTTAAGCAGTATTAAAATAGCAGGATTTCACTTTCGTCCTGACCATGACGAATAAGGTGCTCAATTTCATTTCCATTCTGACAGCTCAGACCGAATCTACAGTTCACGCATACTGAAGTTCATGAAGCGGCTTTGCCTTCCTTGTGACCTCAGCACAATAGTTCACTGTGTAAATATTATTATTGTAACTTCCAAGAATTCTGAGGTGAGTCTATTTACCCAACTGTTCAACGCTTGAATTCACGCCCTTCAGAGGCCAGAAATCCACCGTAGATTATGTGGATATGTGCATAAGACAGCGCATTTTACCCAAATATGATGGCATTTTCCTGTCTGAAGACGACCATCTCAAATATAAAGAGATTAAAATAGTAATTCCCCATATACCGCTTCATACTCTCTTATCGTGCTAGTCTTTAAACGATCCACAAAAGTTGGGAAAAATGGCAGTGTCGCGAAAATTGTCCTACAACCTATTGACACAATCCAAGTTCGAAGTTCTGACTAAACCTATGCGATAATAACAGTTCAAGGGAGCCTACCTTATAAAACACAGGTATAGTGCCATGTAGGCGGAAAGCTGTTCGTCGTTTACCATCTGGGAATGTGTAACTCTCATTGTCAGGTAGGAGGTCTTTAAATTCGGCTAAGGCACCAAGAATGTCCGATTTTGCTGAGTCGACATATTTAGCACTTGCCTTCTCTAGACACTGCTGCACCTGAATAGGGACCATTTGCAGATGCGTTGCCACAATGAATGAAAAAAAAAACGAGAAAAGAGGATGAAGCAAGAGCCAGGGTAACAAACAGACTAACCTTTCTGGTGTGAGACATCCCAAGAAGGTGCTCAAGCCGACTTTCAAATGAGGGCGCGCCTTCTCCTGCAAATCAAAACACTTGGAAACTTAACTCAGCAAATATTGAAAAAAAAACTTTACGGAAATAGATCTACGCAATAAAAATAGTTATAACAAATCACCAGAATAACCGGTAGCAATTCGTAGCTTAAGAACGGCGTATAAAATCAATAGGGCAAGAAACGATCGCGTTCAGGGCTTAAGTTGCTATCAGCACGATGCCATCAAAAAGAACAACAAAGCAGAAAAAGAATTCCTAGCGATTCGATCGCGACGGTTCGATCGCGCGGAACACAGATCGAGATGATGACTCATACGTTCTTCACTAAAACGTAAAGGACGCTTCGTTTCTATACCTACTACTATCTATTTAGCTTGCCATTACAAAGGCCTCCTGTCTCGCAGAGTTATCCTTTTGGCTAACTTAAGAGCAGTATCGACAGAAATGCAAACAATTGCGCTTAAGAATGCTCGAAAAACTGTTCTAAAAGAAAAGATAAAGAGTCTCTTGTAGAAATCGAGAAAAAACTACCACCATGTTCAAAAATTCTACATGATCGCAATTCGTGTTTTAACCATTCTAATTATTTCGTTTATAAAAGTTTTTTCTCTCTTAATTCAAAGAAATATAAACATGATGGATTACGTGAATGATATAATATTTTTGTGTACAATCTTCGTGTCCTTATTAGTTTTAGTGCTATAAATGTATCATTTTGATACATCACGGTAGGATGTGGTCCTCAAAAATGGACGGAACAATGTAATTAATTTTGATCATATTACTGGACCGAGACTATGGCAAAGACTTATGCTTAACATGGTTCCATTGAGAAGATTTTTCGTTCCGATAAACTGACTTCATGCATTACGGGCTTTTGAGGAAATAACTAGCAAATAATTCAGCAACAACGAATGGGTGAAGTAGAGGTGTGTTGGACTAAAATACGGCCGATGGAGGAATCTATCAAAAAAAAAACTAATGACTAAATGCATTTTCTACACACCGACTAAATGGCATTTTCTAACCGAAAATTCTAAGGAAATGGAAAATGTATTTATAGGGATTTTCTGAAGCGGCACACTTCATTTGTAAGTTAGTCTACCGTCCACAGAATCCCGTGCGGATGTGTTCAGGAATTTAAGACTGACACCTCAACTTTTGCGAGGGAAGAAGCTACAGAGTCAGTGTAAAACCGAAGGCGAAACGGTTCACCTTCGTACCGTATAGGACACGTTTTTTGTACATGTGTCTACTCTATCTCAATATCGTTAATATAAGGGGACATGCAAGAAAAAGGAACTCCCGATGATTGTCAAGAAAGATGCTGGCCAAGACAATACTATACGGAGTAGGGCCACGGCTGTCAGGAGTGAATAGATTGTGGAAAAGAATTCATGGTTTGCGGTATTAATGTGTTTGTTAGCAAGATGTACAGTAAAGCTCGGTTTTTATCTAGGTTTTTAGAGTCTCATCCAGTAAGGGGGGGGGCATGTGCTGCGACAGTTCATATTGCATGAAGAAATCCACTTTTTTCAGGGAGGGAAGCTCCGGGGTGGGTGTAAAAGTTTAAGCGAAATGGTTCACGCACCCCGGGATTCCCTCCCCTTGCAAAAATTGGAATTTCTGTAGCCGGCAAGAACTGTCACACCACATGCCCCCCTTACTGGATGAGACCCGGTTTTTATTTTACTTAATTCGTCGTCGTATACATATACATTTATCAACACAGCTGAAACGATAAATTGAAGGCTGAAGGGAAATATGAAAATAGGCAACCCAGGAATAGATTTACCACAGTAGTTACTAGGTGCAACTGCAAAGACAAAAAGCTCAGATGGAGAGTTAAAAGATTTCAGAAGCATGCTGAAGACACTTCGTTCACGAGGCTTTTGTACGGAATGGAGGCTGAAGGAACTCGCACAAATAAATCCGGTCGAAGAACCAATCTTAAAGAGAACACTTCTACAGAGGCAATGATGATTAATGCTAACGATGTCCACTGATGGCGCAACACCGACGATTCGAGCAATCGATATCACTTCGAATACAAGCTGACCGTTATGAATCACCACCGCTTGAAATAGGCTCTTCTTCGACTGTGGATTGTTCTTAACTATAATTCAGGGACGAATGAAGCGTCAAAATATTGAAATATCATCGATAACTGACCAGATGAAGAAACAACCAGGAAATTCTACAAACGCCGCCCGGAACTCGGACGCGGCGGCGGCAGCCGGCCGGCCACGCCCACTATCGATCGTCGACCGCTTGGCTAAACTGCGTGCATCGCTGGAAGCTCGTCGTCCACCAGCGCGGCCACTGCGAGCAGTACACATTGGTCTTCGCTATTGTGAAACCCTTGGTTTGCTGGGATATCACCCGAGCAGGTCCCCAAGGGCCCGGGATCCCTTGGCGCTTCTCCAAAATCATAATTTGGGCTTAGAAGTGGTCGTGTGTTAAGATCAGATCTCTTTCGACGTCCTTATGTCCATCTCTTGTGTACACAACAGTACGGTGCTCTCCAAAGATTGAAGTTTTCCATGAATCCAGTGATTGCTAGCCGAGAAGCCATGCAAACATTGTATTTGCGTCGAAAAAGACCACTCAACGTAACTTTTTAAGGCGTTACAGAGTTGTTAACCTTTTTGTTTAAGCCTGGTTACCCTACCCCCCCTCCCCCCCCCCCCCCCCCCCCCCCCCCCCCCCCCCCCCCCCCCCCCCCCCCCCCCCCCCCCCCCCCCCCCCCCCCCCCCCCCCCCCCCCCCCCCCCCCCCCCCCCCCCCCCCCCCCCCCAACCCCACACCCCCACCCGGTAATCTCACACACCACACACACACACACACACATTCTCACATAATATTTTTGTTTCTTTGCCTTCCTCATCAATCAATTGCCAAATCTATTCCTTATGATTACACTCCAATATAAACACCGCTTGCGCTAAGTCCCTCGCCAATCTCGCCCATAAAAGTTTATTGATTGTGCTATGTGTTAGTTTTTGTGATTTCTGCGGTTAATAGGTGGAACATTCAATGAAACGGCCCAGCGTTTCGACTGAATTTCGTCTTCGAAGGCCCAGGGTTTCTCCGTTTGCGGTGAAAAATTCGGTACCATACTTCAGGGCACTCAGTAATAATCTTTATTCAAGTTGTACAGTTAACTTTCTTTTTCCCAATGACACATTCTTTGAGTGAGGTCATCATACGCATGTTTCGGTGTTACCACATCCAACTCATATGTCTCAACTCCCACTTGATACCCGCCATTAGTTACACAATCAACCTAAACCTATGATTGTTGCGCGATCTGCGGGTGTGGTTCACTAGGACAACAAAGCGACTTTTTCGCGTTTCGCAGCGCGAAACATTGCTCGTTGCGGGAATCTCGGGTCCACTGATGATTCGCTGCGGGAACCTCGGGTCCACTGATGATCGGCGGTGGACCTGAGGTTCCCGTGCAGCGGAATTTTTTCGCGCTGCAAAAGCGCAGAACCCACGCGGGCTTTGTGGTACTAGTGAGAGCAGCAGCCCGCTGGTCCGGCTACGCTTGACTTGGCGCCGCGGCGTGTTTCGCACGTTTCACAGATTCATTTCGAGAATCCGGCTCGCTGGATGTTCCTCTATCATTTTCTTATCATTAGCCCTTGGCGTTTGCTTTTCCGGAATTCTAACCTGAATTCCATAGATTTCGTGAATTCTATGACGATCGACTTCTTACTGCAGGTGGAGAAGGCGTGAGGCGCTAAGGTCTATCGAGAGTGGGGTGCGGATTTACGATTACTCACCCACCATTGAAACTCACTGTTCATATCTGACGACCGCCAATGATCCCTTTTCTGGCACCTATTCAGATCCCACAGAAGCGGTTAGTTTGATTTATCTATTTCGTTTTGATTTATGGTCAACCCTGGGTTCACCACAACGTGTTGATAATTGTGGAAGCCAAGTAGCAGATGTGGCGATCGTGTGAGGGTTGCTAGCACAGTCAATATTTCCGTGCTCTTGATATCACTGCGCCGCGCCGTGTGTCTTCACTGGCTCTGCAATTAGCGACACCTCGTCTTCGCGCCGCCAGCCGAAACGAGTGCACCCTACTTTCTTTCGGCGATGGTCCAGCAGCTGCGCTGTTGCCTCGCGCCACAAACCGAACCACCCCTCCTCCATCTAAGGCTTGTTATATACCCATCCACGCACTAAATCAAGACCCATACAACATATATTGAAGGTCGCTAAACTTAAAATGGGAGGAGGGAAGGACAACAGCCGGACGAGCGACGGCGAATCTGATCTCACCTGGTCTCTGAGAGACGAGAGAGACAGTGTAAACTCGAACATTCCAGCTTTTCACGCATGTCAAGTGACTGCCCCCACCCCCACCCCCCTAGACTGGCCTACACTCCCCCCTGGCCCACGGATTTCCGAACATGCCAGGCGAGCAGACTGCCGCGCCGCCGCGTGGCCCCCCCCCCAACTAAGTTAGCACCCAATTTTAGGTAGGTGTGAGACTTTGCGATTGCAGTCGGAAAGTCTAACATCTACATTTCACGATGAAAAGTACAGGAATAAAGGAGGGGTTCACGAAGAGATGAGAAGTGTGTGACGTTCTCCCAAGGTTCATGCCAGATACTTATAATTTGAAAGTCGCTTTTATTCTTTAGGCTGAGCTTTTCACTTCTCTGGGCGCATGCATAGTCGGTCGTCCGACAGCAACGATCGTAACTGTCGCACAGCATTGGATGCGTATCGATCGTCGGACTTGCCTGAGTATTCGACGATCGATATGCATCTAACACTGTGCGACAGTTACGATCGTTGCTACCGGACGACCGACTATGCATGCGCCCTCTACTTCGTGAATTCAACTCTGATCCTTGTTTCCAATAGTGTAATTGTTTGTTCTCGTCAAAAATTTTTCGATGTAATTGTGGCTAGTTGACAAAATACTCATTCCTGACTGGGTCCCTTTCGTCGTGT